CATAGTATCCAAAGAGATGAACCATCTACACCAGAACCACAGAAGATAGCACCAGTTCTACAGCCAACATCTCCACAGCATTTGTTTATTGATATTATAACACTGATATGTCCACTAAAAGAGTCAGGCCACCTTAGACAAATTGGCAATCCACAAGTTACGAAAAGGGTAGGATTGGCACCTAGTATTGTCCAAAAAGATGAACCATCAAAGACAGCACCAGTCCTACAGCCAACATCTCCACAACTCTCATTCATCAATACAATAACACTGACATGTCCACTAAACGAGTCCGATAAACTTATACAGACTGTGACAAGGACAGGCCTGCCATCCGGTATTGTCCAAAGAGATGAAATTGCTGTACATGTACCTGAACCACCAAAGACAGCACCAGTCTTACAGGCAAGATCCCCACAGCATTTGTTCATCAATGTTATAACACTGACATGTTCACTAAAAGAGTCAGATAAACCTATACAGGTTATGACAAGGACAGTCCTGCCATCTATTGTTGTCCAAAGAGATAGACCAACAAAGACAGCATCAGTTCCACAGCCAATGTCTCCACTGCTCTCATTCATTGATGCAATGACACTGATTTGTCATCCGAAAGAGACTGGTCACCTTACACAGGTCAAGACAAGGATTGACCTTCCACCCAGTATTATCCAAAAAGATGAACCAGCTATACCAGAACCACTAAAGACATCACCAGTCCTACAGCCAACATCCCCACAGCATTTGTTCATTGATGTTATAACATCAACATGTCCCATAAAAGAGTCAGGCCACCTTACACAGGTTAAGACAAGGTTTGACCTTCCACTTAGTGTTCCCCAAACAGATGAACCAGCTGTACCTGAACCACCAAAGACAGCAGCAGTCCTACAGCCAGTATCTCCACAGCTCTCATTCATCAACGTTATAACACAGACATGTCCACTAAAAGAGTCAGGTCATTTTACAGAGGATCTGACAGCAGTAGGCCTGCTATCTAGTATTGTCCAAAGAGAAGAAATTGCTATACCTCAACTTCCAAAGACAGCACCAGTTTTACAGACAACATCCCCACAGCATTTGTTCATTGATGTTATAACATCAACATGTCCAATAAAAGAGTCAGGCCACCTTAAACAGGTTATGACAAAGGTAGGCCTCCCACCCAGTGTTGTCCAAAGAGATGAACCTGCTGTACAAGAACCACCAAAGACATCACCAGTTTTACAGCCAACATCTCCACAGCATTTGTTCATCAATGTTATAACACTGACATGTCCACTAAAAGAGTCAGATAAACCTATACAGGTTATGACAAGGGTTGGCCTGCCACATAGCATAGGTCAAAGAGATGAACCACCAAACACACCACCAGTCCCACAGCCAACATCTCCACAGTTCTCATTCATCAATGCAATGACACTGACATGTTCACTAAAATCAGATCAATTTGAGACCCAAACGTTAGGACTTCCAATAAAACCAAAACAACAGACTGACCAGGAAAAAACTCCTGCTATACGTGCAAGTTATGCAGAAGTCATGATTAGAACAGGCCTGTCTGTCAGAGAACCTCTGAAAGATAGATCTGTTGTATAACAGCGTTCACCTAGAAGAGAAACAACTCCACACCCAACTTGTGTACAGCTCTCTCTCCTACATTTCCTAACAACAAGTGTCAAGGGATGAAGGGAGCAGAAGATGTTCAGGATGGTTCTCTGAAACATATGTCTGTTGCACAGCGCTCACCAAGAACAGAAACAACTCCTCACCCAACTTGTTTGCAGCTCTCTTTCTTACATTTTCTAACAAACAAGTGTCAGCTCAAGGGGGCAGAACATGTACTGGTCACTCCTAAGTTACCAAGAACAAGCAGTGTGCCAAAACAAGAGATCAGAGAGGGAACATGTCAGTTGTCTGCCACACAGCCTAGTTATGTAGAAGTTGTGAGCAAGGTATGTTTGCCACAGAAACTTTTGAAAGGGGAAGTTTCTGTGACACAACAAACAAAAGCAGAACCAACTGTACAGATCACAGCAGGTCAACAACCAAGGACAAAATCAGTCACACAGGTCAACATGCCCACAGCCCTCAATGTTCAATGCCTTGATGCTAACATGTCCATCAAAAGAGGCAAGGTGGCCTTTGCCATCACAGCCTGGTCCTTTGGTGAGACCAGGAACTAAAGTAGCAAGCTACAGTTACCCACTTAAACAACCAACTTACACAGAAGTTATGACTATGTCCTCCGTGCATGCCAGAACAAGTCAGCAAGATGTTGCAGTTGTGAAGCACTCGTTGAAGATAGGACCACATAGGGAGATGACATATCTTCATCTCTCCCTGCTCAATGCGTTGATGTTAAGTGTTCGCTGAAACAATCAACCAGTTCTGAGCCTCTGGATAGAACTCGTCCAGTAAAGTCAGATACTGATGTGGGAACTGGCCATGGTGCAATGAGACTGCCCAGTTACATAGAACTGATGACTGAAGTCAGTTTTCAAAAGGATGTTATCCCTATGCACCAACCACCAAGGGAACCACCTACAAAACAGCTAGGTTGCCTGCAATTGTCCCTGCACCATGCTTTAACACATATGTGCCCATTAGAGGAACCTGAGCACTTGATAGCCAGACCAAAAATGATGGAAATGAGTCGTTTAACGAATCTACCAAGAGAAGACATGCATTCGGTTTGCCCTGCTTTCAGCTTTGAGCTATATCTCGGGATGACGTACCCTGTCTGTAGTGCAGAAACACCCGTTAATGTAAGCAGGTCTGACACAGTTGATGGATCAGTGCAATGTACCAATACAAGTTCATCTGCTGCTGTTTTCTCATCAAAGTCCCAGTTTATTTGCCTGCTATACAAACATGTCTGTCTTGCTGATGCTAACTGCTCCCTTTGGCAAACTGAGTCCCATGTAGAAGAGGTACAGTCAGAAACAAGGGAAAAAGAGACACAATCAATAACAAGGGAAGAAGATTCACAGTCCAAAACAATTGATGCTGAACTGGTGGCTAAACATGTTGAGCTCTCCTGTTTGGACCTGAAGCTGTCAAGAACTTGTCTGTACCATTCATTGTTCTGGACCTGTCCAGCAGATCTGAATTGCACGGTAGAGGAGGACTCATCAAAATCATTGCAAGAAGCTGAACCATTTGCTAGCAAAGAATCTTGCACAGCACAACCAACAATGTGGGGGACGTATCTATTGGAGCATCTACAGAAACAGTGTTTGTCTGACATCAACATTACTGTACCAGAATTTGACTTGCACCTGTACAAGCCACAGAAACAACATAAGGCTGAAAGAAAAGAGGAGAGTACAAGTTCAGTATCAGCACAAGCGTGTTTTCTTGTAGATAGCATATGCCCAGCTGATTTTAACTGCAGTATGGAGAACTTGGACATTTCAAGGATACAGCAAAGACACCTAGTCACACAGGCCCTTAGGGATCAGTTTGAAGGATGTGATTTTGCCCTGATGTACCAAACGTGTTCACTGAATACTCTAGAGTGGTGTCCAGTTGATAGGAACTGTACTGATGTGCACCATAAGGACATTTTGGATAGCCAGGTTGTAGAGGAAGTAGATGTAATATCTGAGTCTGTATCTAATACATGCTTACTGCCAGTACATGATCTTTGTTCAGCTGATGGAAACTGTACACTTGAATTTCTGTTGCCATCAACAAGTCCTGTACCTGATGCACACATCAGAGAGGTGGTGCCTGGATGTATTTGTCAGCCGTTCTCTTTCCATACTTGCCCAGCTGACCATAATTGCACTCTAGAGCTATTCCCTTCAAGTGCGCAAGTGACTCCAACAGGAAGAGAATCTCAAGATCACAGGGTGACGTACCCAGCTTTGACTTGTAAAAGAGAGTATACCATGAGTTGTCCTGTTGACTTGAACTGCACTTCCGACCACTTATCGCACTACACCACACCGACCACAACACTGCACACACTGACAGCTGAAACAGTGTCCTCCTCAGCCACACGCTGGGTCACAATCCCCACAGTCAGCTGCCCTGCTGACCACAATCACACCTTGGGACTCTTGCATGCCCTGAGGTGGCACAGTCCTGTCACAGTCAGGGGGTCTCTGGGACCTGAGGTGTTGGAGTGTGAGTCTTTTTACTTTACACAAAATCAAGTAGAATCACTACAAACTCCTCCTATTTGGTGAGAAACTCTGTCTTTAGCACACAGGTGGTGGGTATTCTCTTAACACAGCAGAAGTAGTAGTAGCCTTCCCTAATAAACAATGCATATCATCACCATTACTATTACCACATTAATGAATGTTTTTACAATCACCTTAATGAATTTTGTTATCTTCCAATGTTTGCACCATGCAGTCAAGGTAAAAGCCATAGATGCCACAGAAGAAGACAAGGACCTGTCCAGTATGGGGGTTGAAGGTGAGTTATCAATCAGCCAAGAAGTCAGAATCTTTCTTGTGCATCAAAACAAGTGGTATCACTACCATTTACCATGTTGTTTAGAAGATTACTCATTCATTTTGACAGCATGTGTACTGTGTAATCTATCTAATCCATTCTCATTTCTGTTATTACATGTAACTTGACCAGCTTCATTAACAAAATATTTTGTCCTATGTTTCCTTTTGTTGTAATAGAACATGCCTCTATTAAATTCACTTTACTAAAGCTGTTAGCTCTTCATTTTGTAATACTTCCTTCCTCAAAAGCCTTAGTTTTTAGTTTGTAGTAGAGCTGTGTACCTAAACAAATTTTAGGTACAGGTACAGGTACAGGTACAGGTACACAGGTTTAGGTACAGGTCCGGACCTGAACCTGTACCTGAACAATTCGACCAATTTTAATATGCTCTTCTGAACTCCTTCAATAACAAAAAAACATAAATAAACTTGATAGTTAAGGTTTATTTCTTTGTTTATGGGGTAATGCTCAGATAAAAT